TCCACACAATCGAAAGCCTTTGCGTAGTCAATAAAGCACAGGTAAACATCCTTCTGATATTCTCTGCTTTCAGCCAAGATCCATTGGACATCGGGTCACCCACAGTGGATAGGTTTCAGCTAAGCTTCCAGACACAGACCGATTAGGAAGAAGGAGAGACAGACTACTTCCAAATATTTAGTCACTGAAAACTTTATGAATAGTAACAGAACACTCCGCATCAGAATACTGACTACTGAAACATGATGGAGAGCACCAAAGATACTGTCAGACATAGTATGGTAGATGAGCCCTTCAGGTTGGAAGGCACTGAAAATACTGCTTGGGAAGAGCTGTCTCCTCCAAGTAGAGTTGACCATGATGGTGTGAATAGAGTATAGCCTTCAGGACCTTCATTTGCTAATGGGGCACAACTCAAAATGAAGAGAAACAGCTATAAACAGCCACAGTAAACATGGAATGTACAAAGTATGAATCTAAGAAAATTAGAAACTGTAAAAAATGAAATGGAACGCAAAAAGATAGATATCCTAGGCATTAGTAAGCTGAAATGGACTGGTATTGGCCATTTTGAATCTGACAATTACAAGGTTTATGATCCTGAGAATGACAAACTGAAGACAAATGGCATCGCATTCATCATCAAAAAGAAAATATCACAATCTGTCTTAAAGTACAATGCTATCTGTTAAAGGATAATATCCATACACCTACAAGGAAGACCAATCAATAACACTGTTATTCAAATTTACACACCAACCACTAAAGCCAGTAGTGATGAAACTGAAGAATTCTACCAACTGCTTCGGTGTGGAACTGATCAAACTTGCATTCAAGATGTATTGATAATTACTGGTATATAGAATGCAAAGGCTGGAAACCAATAGAAGTATAAGTCGTTGGAAAATATGGTCTTGGTGACAGAAACAATGCTGGAGATCACATGATAGAATTTTTCAAGACCAATGACTTCTTCATTGCAAATATCTTAAACATCAAAGACGACTTTACTCATGGACCTCACACCAGATGAAATGCACAGAAATCAAATTGACTACATCTGTGAAAAGAGTGGAAAAGCTCCATATCAGCAGCCAAAACAAGGTCAGGGGCTGATTGTGGAACAGATCATCAAGTGTTCATATGCAAGTTCAGGTTGAAGTTGAAGAAAACTAAAACAAGTCTATGAGAGCCAAACTATGACATAAATATATCTACCTGATTTTGAGATTATCTGAAGAACAGTGTGACTAAAGACCAGAAGTTATGGGATGATATCAAGAACATCACACAGGAAAAGCAAAAGGACATTAAGAAGACAAGAAAGAAGAAAAAGGCCAGAATGAATATCAGAAGACACCTTGAAACTTGCTCTCCAGTGTAGAGATGTTAAAACAAATGGAAGAACTGAGAAGAAAGTTTCAAAGAGCAGCTAGAGAAGACAAAGTCAAATATTACAATGAAATATGCAAAGACCTGGAGTTAGAAAACCAAAAGAGAAGAACATGCTCAGCATTTCTCAAGCTGAGGGAAATGAAGAAAAAGTTCAAGCTTCCACTTGCAACATGAAGGACTCTATAAGCAAAATACAGAATGATTCAGAAAGCATCAAAAGAAGATGGAAAGAAGACACAGAGTCACTGTACCCAAAAGAAGTGGAAGATATTCAACCATCGTTAAAAGGAAACACATGATCAAGAGCCAATAATACTAAAGGAAGAAGTAGAAGGTGTATGGAAGGTATTGGCAAAGAACAAGGCAACAGGAATTGATGGAATACAAAAGTAATCTTTGAACAAACTGCAGCACTGGAGGTACTCGCTCATCTATGTTAAGAAATTTAGAAGACAAGTATCTGTCCAACTGACTAGAAGAGATCCATTTCTGTACCATTACAAAGAAAGGTGACATAACAGAATGCAGAAATCATCAGACAATATCATTAAGATTGCATGCAAGTAGAATCTTGCTAAAGATAATACAAAAATGGCTACAATTATACATTGACAGATAACTTCCAGGGGTTCAAGATGGTTTCAGAAAAGGTTGTAGAAGGAGGGATATCACTTCTAACATCTGATCGATCTTTGCTGAAAGCAGAAATACCAGAAAGATGTTTACCTGTGCTTTACTGCATACGCAAAGGCTTTCGATTATATGGATCGTGACAAGCTATGGACAACATTGTGGAGAATTAGTATTCTGGAACACTTAATTGTGCTCATAAGAAACCTGTACATAGACCAAGAGGCAGTTGTACGAACGGAATATGGAAACACTGAATTTAAAATTAAGTTTAAAATTAGGAATGGTATGCACCAGGGTTATATTCTTTCACCCTACTATTCAGTCTGTATGCTGAGCACATAATCTGAGAGGCTGGGTTATATGAAGAAAAACGCAGTTTCAGAATTAGAGGATGACTCATTAACAACCTACAATATGTAGATCATATAACCTTGCTTGCTGAAAGCAAAGAGAACTTAAAAATACTTACTGATGAAGATCACAGCCTTTGGGTTACATCTCAATGTACCAAACCAAAAATTCTCACCACTGGAGCAATAAAAACATCCATTTAAATAGAGGAAACACTGAAATTGTCAAAGACTTCATTTTGCTTGGATCAACTATCAACACTCATGGAAGCAGCAGCCACGAAATCAAACGATGTACTGCATTAGGCAAAAAGTTAGGCAGTACAAGACCTCTCTAAAGAGTTCAAAAGCAAAGATGTCAGTTTGAGGACTAAGGTGCCTCTGAACCAAGCAATAGTATTTTCAATAACCTCATGTGCATGTGAAAGTTGGGCAGTGAATAAGGAAGTCAGTAGAAACATTGATGCATCTGAGTTACAGTGTTTGAGGAGAATATTAAAAGTACCATGGACTACCAAAAGAACAAACCAATCTGTGTTAGAAAAAGCACAGCCAAAATGTTCCTTGGAATCTAGGGTGGTCAGATTTCGTCTCTCATACTTTGGATATATTATCAGGAGGAACCAGTTCCTGGAAAAGGATATCATGGTTAGTAAAGTGGAGGGTCAGAGGAAAAGAGGAAGATCCCCAACGAGGTGGATTAGCACAGTGGTGACAGAAATGGGCTCAGGTTTGGCAGTGATTGCAGTGTTGGTGTGGGAGTGGAGAGTGTTTTGTTCTGTTGTGTATAGGGACTCTAAGAATTGGTGACGACTTGATGGCACCTAACAACTGCAATTATCATCTCATTTGGGAATGTGGTGGCTCTGTACGACAGACAAGCACTGGAATGCAAATAACGAAGTAGTTTGAACCTACCAGCTGCTCTGCAGGAGAAAGATAAGGCTTTCTACTTCCACAAAGATTTACAGTGACGGAAACCCTAAACAGGATCACTATGAGCTGGTACCAACTTTACGACACTTAACAATAACAACAGTCCAATTAATCTTAACAAGTTCCTGAAGTAGTAACAATTATTCCCATTCTACAGATAAGAAAACTGTGGGTTTCGTATAATAAGCCCACTGAAACAAAAATAATAAATGGTTG